TCTTATGAATGTATATATACATCTCTCTTTTCCTTGTCTCTTAATTTTCTTCTTTATTGTTTGTCTTTTCTTTCTTGTTCCTCCTTCTTTTGTTTTAGAGAAACAATGAGAGAATTAACAACCAGTGACACTGATCCTGATGCTACCATGGATACTGCTGTTGAGGAGAAGGACAGTTACTTTAGCAACTATGGACATCATGGCATACATGAAGAGATGCTCAAAGTAATTTTAAATGTCTACATGTACATTTTATACATACATATGGCTAAGAACTTTGACAGCATGCTGTGCCTATTTGCATATACATGTATATATAATGTGCACCTAAAATTCATCTCATTCTCTCTCTTTGCTTTGTAGGATGAAGTTAGAATGGATTCTTATGAATTATTCATTACTAAAAACACTGAGATTTTCAAAGATAAAGTATAATTACATGTACACGTATTTTATCAGCCTTTCTTGTCTCTTTTTATCACCTTCCCCCTCCCTCTCTCTCTCTCTCTCTCTCTCATTTCTATACAGGTTGTTCTTGATATTGGTTGTGGTACTGGTATTCTCTCCCTCTTTGCAGTTAAAGCTGGTGCTAGTCACGTATTCGCCATAGACCAATCACCAATCATACACAAAGCAGCAGAGATAGCGAGAGAGAATGGAGTTGATGATAAAATCACATTTATAAGAGGAGAAGTGGAGAGTGTTAGGCTACCAGTTGATAGTGTTGATGTGTTGATATCAGAATGGATGGGGTACTTCCTTTTATTTGAGTCTATGCTTGATACTGTCCTATATGCTAGGGACAAGTGGTTGATTGATAAGAAAAATGGTGAGATGTATTAATGTACAGTTGCTAAATCCAGGGTTTCCCCACAAAGCATGCTAAGTGAGCTAAACAGCATGAGCTTCATGAGCTGACAAGCACTACAATACAGTACATGGCATTTGGAGCAACTTAAAAAATTCATAACAAATCCAAACTTGATTGGAATCAGTTCAAACTTGCTACACAACATAAGAGCATGTATATGTATCAGAAAAAATTATAAAAATGAAGAATTCTCTCCTAGTCATTTTTGACAAAATTTGGCCAAGAACCCTGTACTAAACAAGAACATAAAAAATTTTAAAAAACAAGATTGAGTAGG